TGGGCCATTTCCAGCACAAATCCAGGGTTTAACAAGAACATCTTGGGGTTGGGGGGGTAGGAAAAAACAAGGGGAAATAGGTTACCTTGCATAATGACTTAGCCACTCCCAGTCTCTATTCAAGCCTAAGTTAATTGTATCCAATTTGCAAATGAATTCCAATTCAACAGTTTCTCCCTGGAGTCTGGATTTGAAGTTTTTTTGTTGTAATATCGCAACTTTCATGTCTGTAATCGTGTGACCAGAGAGATTGAAGTGTTCTCCGACTGGTTTATGAATGTTATAATTCTTGACATCTGATTTGTGTCCATTTATTCTTTTATGTAGAGACTGTCCAGTTTGACCAATGTACATGGCAGAGGGGCATTGCTGGCACATGATGGCATATATCACATTGGTGGATGTGCAGGTGAACGAGCCTCTGATAGTGTGGCTGATGTTATTGGGCCCTGTGATGGTGTCCCCTGAATAGATATGTGGGCACAGTTGGCAACAGGCTTTGTTGCAAGGATAGGTTCCTGGGTTAGTGGTTCTGTTGTATGGTATGTGGTTGCTGGTGAGTATTTGCTTCAGGTTGCGGGGCTGTCTGTAGGCAAGGACTGGCCTGTCTCCCAAGATTTGTGAGAGTGTTGGGTCATCCCTCAGGATAGGTTGTAGATCCTTAATAATGCGTTGGAGGGGTTTTAGTTGGGGGCTGAAAGTGACAGCTAGTGGTGTTCTGTTATTTTCTTTGTTAGCTCTGTCCTGTAGTAGGTGACTTTCTGGGTGAGAAAACCTGGATTTGTGTTGGAAATGGCCCACCTTGATTATCATACACATTGTAAGGAGAGTGGTCACTTTAGATAAGCTATTACCAGCAGAAGAGTGGGGTGGGAGGAGGTATTTTTTCATGCTTTGTGTGTATAAAAAGATCTTCTACACTTTCCACAGTATGCATCCGATGAAGTGAGCTGTAGCTTACGAAAGCTTATGCTCAAATAAATTGGTTGGTCGCTAAGGTGCCACAAGTACTCCTTTTCTTTTTACCTGAAATAAGCATCTAAGATTACAAAAATTGTAAATAAAGCAAGGAAATGAGTTAGATTATCTTTTGTTTTAGCTTGTAAATTTTCCCTATGCTAAGAGGAAGCTTTATTCCTGTGTTTTGTAACTTTAAAGTTTTGCCTAGAGGGGAATCCTCTGTGTTTTAAATCTTATTACCCTGTAAAATTACCTTCCATCCTGATATTACAGAGGTGCTTCTTTTACTTTTTTCTTTATAATACAGTTCTGCTTTTAAGAACCTGATTGGTCTTTAGTGTCCTAAAAACCCAAGGGTCTGGTCTGTGCTCAGCTTGTTTACCTGTTTGGTTGGTATATTATTCTCAAGCCTCCCCAGGAAAGGGGGTGAAGGGGCTTGGGGGGATACTGTGGGGAAACAGGAATTCTAAGTGGTCCTTTTCCTGAATCTTTGTCTCACTCACTTGGTGGTGGCAGCAGTACTCGTCCAAGGACAAGGAAGAATTTGTGCCTTGGGGAAGTTTTTAACCTAAGCTGGTAGAAATAAGCTTAGGGGGTCTTTCATGTGGGTCCCCAGAGTTCTGTACCCCACAGTTCAGAGTGGGGAGGGGACCCTGACATGGCTGCTTCCCCTACGGCACAAAGGTGACCTGGTTTTTAGAGTGGGAGGACTTGTGGAAGAACTATAGATCTTCAGAAGCCACTGTACATTGACCAAAGGACGTTCGCTAACCGCAGAGTGGTGGGAAAGCGTAGGTTAATCCCAACAGGATCCATAGATTGAAGACATAGGGAGGTGCAGTTTAGGCAACTGGCTCTAACCAGTGTGCAACAACCAGAACTCCAGAGTCCTCTACTAGGGCGTGCTGATTGCAGTGGGCATGCCCAGCACTGGTGCCCCAATTTCCTTCAGTTATATACATAGCAGTAATATCCGGTGTGGCACATAAGAAATCAAATCACTGACAGTGAAAAAGGAATATTCAGCAGCTGCTAGCAAGTGTATTCTCTAGCCTCTCTGTGGATCACCACTTGATTATGTAAATAATACTTTTTTAAAAACTACAGGAGATGAGAATCTATGCATGCCTCCATTTACGGATCTAATATACACAGTCAGTCAGATCAAATGGTAATGAGAAAGTAATTCAAACTAGTATTGGTGGAAGCAGCAGAAGTGCGCAGATAGAGAGAGCACAGCCAGACAGAAAGAATCCAGCCAGGTCCCAAATTCTCAGGTATTTTACAGTATAATGACTTACAGTGCCAGAACAAAAAAACAAAACAAAACAAAAACAAGTAACAACAACAAGTGGAGGAAAAACTGGAGAGAGAAAGAGCAAACAAACATTAGTGGCATTATAGCCAATAATATAGCTGACAAATATCCCAGGGAGCTGAGTTCTCTGTCTCTCTAGTCTGTTTCTGATGGCCACCTCTCCCCAGCATTGCATAATTGAAGTAAAGTCAAAATATAAGTAAACAGATATGTTCTGTGTCAAGACGACTCTGTATAATGTAGAACACACTGGAGAAGAAGAATTCTGCACATGCAGTGTTTTCGGAAGATGATGTGCATGTACATGCTGAAGTGGCCACAAATTTCATGCGCCACTATCATCATCCTGTCTGTGTTCTTGAGACTTTTCAAGAACCGTGACAAAATTCGTTCAGAGGGGAAAACGGGACTGGAACATACACAATGTGTACTGTACCACACTGGCCCCAATGTCTAGTATGAACCAAGGTAAGGAGATGAGCTGTGAAGCCACTCAGCTATCACCTTCTTCAGCTTGTGCAACCATGCAGATTCAATGTGATTTCTTGAAGACTACAGAGAAGGTGTAGTTGCCACATCCTACTGCTGACCCATTCAAAATTTTCTTTCTTAAAGCAGATCTATGGAGGGCTCTTGACACTTGTAAGTCAGTGTCAGACCTCTGACTAACATACGTGTTGTGAGAAACTGTCCTGCTCCCAGAGCTGCTCAAGGAACACGGCACATTTGCTGGAATAGTTCTGGGACAGCTTTTGTGGAGAAAAGCATGTGACTTAGTACTATCTGTCAGCAGCACCTCATCCTGGAGCTTCTCATCCTCTGAGCAAGAAGTGCAATAAATTACCTGCCAGGGTTTTACTGAGTAAAAGGGCCATGGAAGTTAGTCTCACCCAGAATTGTCTGAGGTTGTGCAGTTAATTCCTGACGTCAATCTTACTTTTTCTAGGAGCAATGGAGATTTAGAAACACAAAACACACAATTAGCTTGCAGAACTCATAAGCACAAAATACCATTGAATCCAAGAGCTTAAAAAGATTAAAAAAAGATGTAAACATTTATCTGGATAACAAGAAAATGTCGAGTTGTCATCGTAAACATTTAAAAAAAATAAGCAAATGTTTCCGATGGGTTAGTGGATCACCCAAAGATTGGCAGACTGATAAACAATGAGGACAAGAGGCAGTCATACAGAGCAATCTGGATCGTTTGGTAAGCTGGGCCCATTCAAACAAAATGTATTTTAATAGAGCCACACGTAAAGTTACATACCTATGAACAAGGAATGTATGCCATACCTACAATAGGTGACTGCACCTTGAAAAGCAATGACTCTGAAATGGATTTAGGAGTATAGTGGACAAACAACTCAATATGAACTCCCAACGTGATGCTGTGGCAAAAAAAGGCTAATGCAATCTTGGGAAATATAAATAGAGGAGTAGGCAGGTGATTTTACCTCGGTCTATGACATGGGTGAGACAGATACTGGAATACTGTGTGCAGTTATGGTATCCATATTTTAAAAAGGATGCTGAAAAACTGGAGAAGGTACAGAAAAGAGCCACACAAGTGATTTGAGGGATGGAGAAAATGCCTAACAGTGAGAGACTTAAGAGCTCAACCTATTTAGTTTTTCAAAAAGAAGATAGAGAAGTGACTTAATTGCAGTGTTTAGTACCTTCACAGGGAGAAAATATTGTGTAATTCTAGAATAGAAAGGCATAACAAGTATCAATGGCTTTGAGCTGAAGTCAGACAAATTTAAGTTAGAAATTGGCACACATTTTTAATAGTAGGGCCACTGACCATTGCAACAAATTGCTAAGGAAAGTGGTGGATTCTCATTCTCTTGATGTCTTTGGATCAAGACTGGATGCCTTTCTAGAAGATATGGTTTAGCCAAACAGACTCAATATAGGGGTAATTGGATGAAACTTAATGACTTGTGATATATATGTCAGATTAGATGATCTAATGGTCCTTTCTGGCCTTAAACTCTATGAATACCTGACCATATTTTTATATTTTGAGTCAGTTTAGAAATGTAAGGCATGTGAAAAGTGCCAGCATGATTCCATCTGAAAAGAAAGATTCTGTGTCTAAAGAAGACTACAGTATAGAAAACAGTACAAGTTTTCCACATCTGCCTTCCTACCCGTTTTATTCTGACATGAAAGGACCATTTCTAAGGGTCAGAGGGTACCGTGATTCAGTCCTTAGCTTCTCTACTGAACATCAGTTGTGATGGTGATTGTAGATATATGGACATCTGTCCACTAGAAACTGGACTGAGACGACCACCATATAATTTCTCACAGACCCCTGAGTAGCTATCGAGTAGCAATGACTTCTGAGCACTACTAATCTGAACTGGATTTGAACCTGACCTAAAGTTAAAGACTATATTCTATCATCTAAGCCAGCTAGGCCTTTCAGTAATTTATATTTCCTGATACAGTATAATTTAAAATGTTCCCTAATACAACTGGTTATTTATTCTGGCTTCAAACTAAACCAATTAAATTAAATTATTTCTTGACTTTTTTAACACTTACCATCAAAACATAAACATTTAACATCTTTGGCAAAAATATTTGTTATGCTTTCTTAAAACTTTTTTCCACTGATATCAGTGTTACAGTGTATGTTATCTTTAATCTCTCTTCCTCTGTTTGAAAAAAACAACCCAGACCATTTCCAGGATCTTGAACCATCACTCACCTGTGCCTTTGCCAATTTTTTTTCCAGCAGGTCTCGCTCCCTTTCTGTTTGCTGCAGACGTTTATTAAGCTCCACTATATCTCCCTTTAGTGATGCCAGGGCTGCTAAATGGAGCTGTAAGACAATCAAAATGTATCCAGGTTAAACTTGTCTACCAAATGTACCACTCTTTTAATGTACCACTACTGTAAACTACTAGGAGGCATCAATGTTCACAACTAGTTGTGACCTTTCACACTCGAGAACTTTTAAACCACAAAATGGGATAAAATAATCCACATGCAGCTGAATGCTTTTCCTGGAACACTCCTGAGGAGGAGTATATACTGTATTAAGAGAGAGAACGCACAACAAGGGTAAATATAATGCAGTGTAATTTAGTTGGAAGCCTGAGTCCATTAGCTTTTTTACACTATCCCAGTGGATACTAGCTCAGAGACTTGTGCTATAAAAGAAGGTGCAGTATCCTTTAACCATTTGAATGCTTTCAGACAGAAGAGCCTGTGTAACCTTCCTACAGAGAACAATGGGAATATGGCATACAAGGGTTCAAATTGTTACTTTGAGACTAATAAAAATTCCACTTACAGAGCAACCATCTTGCAGTTATCTGAGATAATTTTTTCCCGGGTCTCATGTTAGTGAGTTTAAACAACAAAGATTTACTGAAGTTGTAATGGAAGAACCTGACCTGCATTTCTTTCCTAGATAATATATCTGGGTTAAGCAATCATACTAAAGGCAAAATCCTGTCCTTATAGTTCGTACAGTCTGGTGGGTCCCATAAATATTTTACAGTTTCAAAATATGAATTCCAATACTCTTTAGATGCTTTTCAGTCTTCACTGTAAGTCTGCTCTGTATCAGTGTTAAGGGCTCTTTGTATTTCCCCCCTTTGTATAAATATGTAATTCTTCAATTAAAAATATTGGAAATTAAAATGCAGTACACACAGATATCAGAGAACATGCTACTAACAACTAAACCGAAGAATGGAGAAAGCCATCCAGAATGGGAAAGAATAGAAACTGAACCAAAAACTAGATGAGAGATGGAACAGAAGGCATATCCCATAAGTACCTGATGGCATGTGTAAATTTATCTTCAGCCAGTAAAACTGTGATAAAATGGGCAATCTAAGAGGAATCAACACCAATTTTAATTTAAAAAAAATTGAAAATATGCCTTTTCCCATATATTTATGCCAGTGAGACAGGCATCTATGGAGGGGCTGAGGGTGTGTGTGTGGGGGGGGCAGAATGGGACTGGCTGGACAATGAGACTGGTGGCAAGTAGCTGGGGGGTGGGGTGGGACTGGAAAGGGTTGGACAAGAAGACTGGAAGTCTGGAGAAGTAAAACAACAAATTGATGGATAAGGAGACTAGGATTGGGATCAGAAGCCTGAAGAGTGGACACTGAGCCTAGTTAGGTGAGGAGAATGGGACTGGGACAAGGAACCAGCGGTGAGGAAGACACAACACTGGACAAGTGAAGGGGGGCGGGCAGAAAGGAGTCATGCTTGTGGGGAATGGAGTCTGTGTCCGCTAGAGTACATTCTGTTCCAGAGCCTAGAACAGAATCTAAGATTCCTTAGTCTTACCATTCCTCTGCTGTCAGCAAATATCTGTGGTATTCACTAGCAGAGTATCCCACCCCGCTCTAGTGCTGGTCCCCATAGAGCAGTGTTTCCCAAACTTGGGACAGCACTTGTTCAGGGAAAGCCCCTAGCGGGCTGGGCTGGTTTGTTTACCAGCCGTGTCTGCAGGTTCAGCCAATCACGGCTCCCAGTGGCCGCGGTTCACTGTGCCCAGTCAATGGGGGCTGCGGAAAGCGGTGCGGGCTGAGGGCCAAGTTTGGGAAACACTGCCATAGAGGATGACAACCTACTATTGCTATCAGTTACTCTGGTAGCTAAAGTGGCAGAGGTCTGTGTGGTAGATCTAAAGGTCCTGCGGAAAAACAGTATGTGATCATGTAATTAAACACTGTATCATAATGCATATGCACCAGAAGGTTAAAATAAGCTTGCACAGGCAACCTTAATTCTGCCATTTCGTAACTGAGTGTTTGACTTTGTGTAGGCTTTGCATGAATAATGAACAAAAACAGTAGTAAGAAAACAGAGGTTAACAATGGACAAGGCATAAATTCAAAAGTGGTCTTGTAAATAACATGTCATTAGTATATAAAGAAACAGTAAGAAGAAGAAGGTGTGATAAGCTTACAACTGCAGCTTTGCTTACTAGGACACTTTGCAGCTCATGGACAGTTCATGATCTGTACAGGGATTGGTTTAAAAAATTAGTAGACCAACCATAAAGGGCGTTAACCAATAGTATTAAGTATAAGCGTGTATATAAGCCGACTCACGATTACGTATGTTGGATGTGTACCCTGAATCCACCCCCTACACTTGAGCCTGATCAACTCAAGTATAGTTTGATTGTATGCCAATAAAGAAACCTCAGTGAAGAGTCCAGAGTTGAACTGATTTCTTGGATTCCAGAGAACTGGATAAAGTGTTCTCCCAGAACTGGGCAAGTGCTCTGGATAAGACAAGTGGAAAAAGTCTCAGAGGGAATCCCAACACTTTGCAACCTTAATAATGTGGGTGGGTGTGTATAATATATATGTGTGTGTGCGCGCACACACAGTTTATAACATATATATGTTATTATTACACACACACACAAATATAAATGAAAGCCTAATTATGCTGTAGAAATTGGGCCCCTTCATGCACCATGGAAAGCTTCTTATTTCCCAGTGGGACATAGGAAAGTTATGCACTAGGTTATAATTTCTACACTATGCACTCTAGACACTTTTGCTATTGGCAATGGTCATACATTTCTTATCTATGAGCTTTTTTCTCCTTAATATCATGTTACCAGCTCTTATAATTAGCTCTAAAGTAATACACAAATTAACACCACACATAGTTCACAAAAAAGTGGTGTTTTGTTTGTTTTTTGAGAAAAGTCTTTTCAGTTTTTTGACCAGCTCTACTACAGAGTACAATAAAGAGCATCTGTTTCACAGAACTATATAACGCACTCTCTCCTCCCAAGCACTGCCTTCTCTCCACATGTCAATAATAGCTACAATTCTCTAAGTTGTATAAAACTAATATCACACAGTCAAGTAAACATCTCTCCCCTTTGTACATTATTCTTCAATGACTACCAGCTGTGGTCCTAATTAAACAACAGGCCAACAATGCTCACACACTGAGCGGCAGTATAAAAGGACACTGTTCATTTAAAAATCACATCTGAACTCCCCAGGCTTCCTTACCTGTGTTAACAACATCTAAGAGTATCAATACTGAAAGCATATTACATATTTCACCATTTATGCAATTTATTTTTTACATGTAATTCATTGTGGACAATAAAAATAGTTTCATGTTTATTTCTTAGTCAATTTTTCTTTATCACAATGCTGCAGTTTTATGATCATTGTAAAAAGATTTCTATTAATACTAGGTTTTGTAAAACCTTATGCTTACTATTATTTATTATTTTGTAAAACATTGTGTTTGTTATTATGATGTTTATATAACTTAGATTTTGGACTTCCTTTAACCAAAGAAATCCCATTTCCTTATAAAATTTAGTTTTATTAGTACTTAATATCATACAAAGCCAACTGTATACCAAAAAAAGGAAGGAAAAATCCCCAAATACTAAAGTGCCATGCCAGATAATATGACATTATCCAGCCAAACAGGAATAGCATAAGGTTTAACGGCTACTAGGACTTATATACATATTCATAATCTGGGTCTGCATTTACCTCACATTGTTTCCTCTTACAGCAGTAGGCCCGGTAGTGTCCTAACGTAATTTACAATTTCCCAACTAATTTGTAAACATGGTCACTGCAAACAAGCAGCTTCTATCTGTCATAGTCAATGGCAGGAATCATCTTTCCTCTTCATCTCAACAACTGATTTACATCTTTAAAAAAAGTGCTGTACTGGAAGCAAGAGATGTGGAAAGAGGAAACTGAAACACTCATGATTTTGACGAAAAACACTGCTAACCTCTGTTTTGCCCCCATCAAAAATTAGGGTGTCATCTCCCAATCTCCCAACCAGCTTATTGGCAGGCTTGCAGTTCTGCAAACACAAGATTCAGCACGTTACTTTATAAGGGTCTAAGCCACAACTGACATATTAAAATTCTGGTTAGAAAAAAAGGGGCAGGCAACGAGGGGAGTTCCCAAATGCTCCACTCTATGGACAGAGGTAAGATATCATATAAACAAAACAGGTTTCAGAGTAACAGCCATGTTAGTCTGTATTCGCAAAAAGAAAAGGAGTACTTGTGGCACCTTAGAGACCAACCAATTTATTTGAGCATAAGCTTTCGTGAGCTACAGCTCACTTCATCGGATGCATACTGTGGAAAGTGTAGAAGATCTTATTATATACACACAAAGCATGAAAAAATACCTCCTCCCACCCCACTCTCCTGCTGGTAATAGCTTATCTAAAGTGATCACTCTCCTTACAATGTGTATGATAATCAAGGTGGGCCATTTCCAACACAAATCCAGGTGAGAAAACCTGGATTTGTGCTGGAAATGGCCCAACTTAATTATCATACGCATGGTAAAGAGAGTGATCGCTTTAGATAAGCTATTACCAGCGGGAGAGCGGGGTGGGAGGAGGTATTTTTTCATGCTTTGTGTGTATATAATAATATCTTCTACACTTTCCACAGTATGCATCCGATGAAGTGAGCTGTAGCTCACAAAAGCTTATGCTCAAATAAATTGGTTAGTCTCTAAGGTGCCACATATAAACAAAACATTTAACATTTTAGTCAATCACAGACTAAACTTGCTTTGACTGAATTTTATGCCCTGTTTCAATGTTAAAGGTTTCTGGAGTGTGTTTTCAACCTCAAATCTACATCTCTCAAATTTAAGAGGAACAAGGTATAACTAATGGCCTCCAAATTTTAATTTTGTTTGAATGGTGGTAGAGGACAGTTTTTTCATTGTATGTTTAAAACGTGTCTAGCACAATCACATCCTGATCCACACTGAGGCCTAGATACTAATGCAACAGAAATCATCATTCATCATCAACGTGAAAATGGCC